CTCTCTCTCTCTCTCTCTCTCTCTCTCTCTCTCTCTCTCTCTCTCTCTCTCTCTCTCTCTCTCTCTCTCTCTCTCTCTCCCTCTGAGAGATCAGAAGCTCACATTAGGCTCTAACAACTTTGGAAGACCACAATGCTCAGCGAATGACTCAACCAATCTGTGTCTTCGATGAATCTTCATACCTTCATCTCAGAGATAGGCAACTATTTCAGAAAGAGCTGCCTAACATCATGTAGACCGTTTTCCCGGCTTCTCGTGAAACGACTTTGGGGATCAAGAGTTGAAAGGAGGTTTGAAACGCTCTTACAAAAACTCACCCGTTCAGAAGGGACATCCCTTGTGTGCAAAAGTGCTCTTCTCCTTTGAGCAACGAAACAAAGGATATCGTGTTTTGTGCGTGTGCACATCCAGCCTCCATTTCCGCGCCCCAAATTTCCACTCACAAGCTGTGTCCTTCAAAGCGCGCCTACAGAGGCTCCATCTCCCGATGAACAAGGGAGTCCCTGCTTGTTCTTGAGTGGAAAGCGGTTCCTTCGTTCACTCTGCATGCCACACCCTTCCTTCCTGCAATCCTGTTTCCACAACACATAGCAAGTAATGTCAGCGAGCCTGCGAAAGGTCCATAGTACTCCATACTACATACTACATATGCTCACAATGAATTTGTAATATTGTACCCATGGTTAAAAGGGCAACAACATGGGGTTAGGTTGCTAACCTCAGTAGGGGTTGTAATCGTTGTTGTTTTTTTTGTTTTTTTTTTTTGAAACAGAACTCTCCCTTTTTTTCCCTGGTAACATTCAGTAATTTCAGTTACATAAAACTTGATAAAACATGATAAAACATGATAAAAGCATTCTTTTTTCAAGTTTTCTGTTTTGATAAATTTGATTTGCTTTTAAAAGGGCGATGCTACGATGGCAAAAAAAAAAAAAAAAAAAAAAAAAAAAAAAACGGGTGATGGCCTTGAGGTATTATCATCGGACTAACCACCCCAGGTAAACTCAATCTCCTGTTTAATCTGACAGGGTGGGGACTAACCACCTCAGCCCAAGGTGGCCTTGTTGCCTTCACGGGAACCCCTAGCAGCCGTATATACTCCCGCCTGAGAGTAATGGGCTGCACTCAGCCCCACAGGGGCGACACCGGCCAGAGGTCAGCCGGCAGCATCAGGGCCGAGCATCATCTGAGTGGCGAGTAGCGCAATTTCAAGAGGGCGGCCAGTATAGCATAAGTGTGGAGAACTGGGTGAATGGCAAAAATGGAAAATGCGTAGAATTGCCGCCGCAATTTATTTCGCGGTCGAAATGAATTGTTTTCATTTTTGTTTACATACTTTTCCTGGAAAGATTACAACGAAATCTACGGGCCCTCCACTTTTCAGAGTTTTTCAGGTATTCTTCTGAGCGTGAAAAATCACTGAAGTTGGAGTTCTGTTTCCATTGGCCCACACATGACAGAGTGGCAAAAAATCAGCGCAGCCAGTATTTCACGGTCAAAATGACTGTTTTTTTTTTTTTTTTTCATTTTGCTGATATTTTTCCTGGAAAGATCACAACCTAGTCTTCGGGCGATCAAATTTTCAGCGTTTTTTGCACATTTTCCTGAGTGCGAAAAATCGCCAAAGTTGCCGCTTTCAAATTACAGGGCTGGACCCGCCTTTTTACCTCACGGTCGCCGCCCCTCCGTAAAACCCGGCCCTAACTCACAGGAACCACGTTTTCGGCTGTCGGGAGGAGGGCTGTGGTGCTTTAAGGGTGGGTTGGGGGTTTGGGACGTTGTGGGGGTGCGGGGTGGGAGGCTGTGGGGCACGCATGGCTGCACACACACGCATGGGGGGCTGAAGGGTAGGAGAGGAATGTGGTGCGATGGTAGGGAGAGGTGGAGGGAAGAGTCCAGAGAACGCGTGGGAAGGTGGAAGGATGGTGCGGGGGAAATGTGGTGGGATAGGCAGAGAGAAGGTTAAGGGAGGAGGGCTTGGAAGTAGACCACTATTTTGGGGGAACGTAGAGGGGGAAGGCAGGGGAGAGAGCAGGAAAAGGTGAGGGACGGAGGCGCGAAAGGTAGACAGGAGATGTGGCAGAATAGAGGTGAGAGGCCCGGAGAGCTGTGCGATGGGGGGCAGAAGAGGAGGGAGGGAGGGGGAGGTGGTGTGATGGTGGGGGCAAATCGGTAGACAGTCGACAGTCGGGGGAGAACGAGGGAAGAATGGGGGGGGGAATCAGGGGGAGAATGGGGCAAAAATTGGGGGAGGGAATGGGGGCAGAGGGACGGCGACTGGCAGAGGGGAATGGTGATCCGGTGGGGGAGATGAGGGAGGGGGAGGAGGGGGAGATGGCGCGGGGTATGCCCATGCCACCCTCTGGTAAAAAATGGAGGCAGTTTAGGAAGCTGCAAGGAAGAGAGTCCAATGCACACTATACACTATATATACTAAGGGAATGCTCACACTAGGTGATTTTTCCGACTCAGCTCTGGCCGCATTTCTGGCCAGAAACATCCACCGTGGGACATAATTGCACCCAGATGCATCCAGGCAGGTGCTATTCTGAGGACGCTCTAAGGGATGCGCCGGTGCAGGGTGGTACATACTACATACATTCTCTTCTTGACGGTCACTTTTCCTTTCATTTCAACAACCCATATAAACTTTGCATAAAAGGGTCAGCAATGCATCAACTTGGCTTTGCATCAAGTCATGTAAAATAATAAAATTATATAATGCATGGAATACCAAAGTGACGATGGGGTCCGACGTTTGGGAGAGGGAACGCAAAAGTTCCCAAAAACTTCCAAATTGCAAAACAGTTCACAAAACTTCAAAGTTCAAACTAAGACAACTCCCAAAAGGCTCTGAGGGCATACTCACACTAGGTCTTTTTGTACTTATTTTCTGGACGGAATCGCGGCCAGATGCATCCAGGCGCAGTCGGTATTGCGGTCAGAATCGTCAGATACATTTAAGATAGTGCTAGTGTGAGTACGACCTGGAGGTGGAAAAAACAAAAGACTGGAATATGAAACATGGCCTTGACTGTCTTTTCTTTCTTTCTTTCTTTTTTCTTTCTGATTATATTTTGTATAGATCATTGTGATCATGTCCTCCGGGACATCTGTTAGAATTGGAACAATACGGAGAACTCAGACAAGATTAGCATGGCCCCTAGGCAAGGAAAAATATATAACTCAAGAAATGGTCAAAATTGAAAAAAAAAAAAAAAAAAAAAAGAATGCAAATGACCATTATGATCGTCATCAGCTTCGTCATAGTGTGATTGTAGGCTTAGAAGGCAAATTCATTAAAATTAAAGAAACAACAAAAGAAAGACAAATATGAAAGACAAAATACAACTCTTACCTGGACCCAATAGTAGAGGGGTCTGCTGAAATGAAGCAACACTTGAAACAGGAGCAGCGCCGACTCCAGTAGCAGCGGCGGGCGTCGTGACCAGAGCAGCAGCAGTGGGCACCGGGAGACTAGGGTTCGCCGCCGCAGTTGCAACTGACTGCGTGGCGAAGAAAGGGGTTCTCTTAGGTCGGAGCTGACACACACGTCAAAGACACGAGGAGATGGAAAAAGTCTTATGAGGTATGGGTAGTCACTGATCAGTCATATGGACACAAATTTGACACAAGTTCATCGCCAAACATTGGAACTCGGTTCACACTTCAAACTTCAAAACAATTCATTCAAGCAGAATGGCATTTGATGATTTGAGTTTTCTGTCGGAGCTGACGGATTTTCCGACACACAGAGAACACACGAAGCAAAAGAGAACCACTCTGAGGTAAGCGCAGAGTCCTGGAAGCATATGCGCAAAAAAAGTTAGAAAAACAATCACTTCTCTTCACATGAATGAAAATAGGAAATGTACTAACGAGTACTCAAAAGTCTAAAATAGTAAATCCAATAGTTCTTAAGGCTTTAAATGGAGGGAAGAACATCAGCACGTGTTTCTTTCAGGTGCCAGGACGACTGCCTCCCAGAGCATAGCTGCACTGACAGACTACCCATGCACCCCTCCCCGTCAACTTCTTCCTCTGCCAATCTCTCCCATTTCCTTCAACTGTCTTTCCCCACCGCAGCCTTGGCTATCGCCCGTAACAAGATTGTCACATGCCGAAAAGCATCAGAATGCGAGGCTCAGGGCCTCGATCTGCCCTACTGGGCCCTATTTTCTATATGGTCAGCCGCCCTAAGTGAAGGCAGACTCGACCCAGGGCCTACAGGCCTGTTTTGGGGTCACCACGCAACTGGGTAAATTCAGGCAGTTGCGCAGCGCCAGTTGGTTGAGAGCGCCCAGGCCCAGGCTGCCTCTTTTTCAATGTAACTGAGGCAGGCCCTGGGCCAGATTCGCAAGATGGACCGAACATAGGCCGCAGGCAGTTGTACAGGGGCAACCACCACAGGCCCAGCGCCTGATTCGTTTGATCTGGGGCTCAGCCTCTCTGGGCATACCGGAAGCTTCTGGGCAGGGGCTCAACGCAGCCAAGCTGCACGCAAGGCAGGAAGGCCACTTCCATTTAGGAAAGGGCCTGCCCACGCATTCAGCATTCGGGCACTGGCTGCATGCTGCGCAAGCGCTGCTGCGCTAACGCTGGCCAGCACTCACGCGCTCACGGGTGAGCTGGGAGGAGCAGGCAGCCATAGCCGAGCTGCGCTGCTGTATGCTGGATGGGGCGCATGGTGGTCCTTGGGTGCATGTGGCATCTGTAAGTTGGGGATCGAGGTTGTGAGTGATACGAGGGACATACCTGCTGCTGGGCGAACGGCATTGGCCGATATCTGCCCGTACTTCGCCGAGCTGTTGACTTCATCAGGCGAATTGTAGATAGGCTAGATAGGATCTGCCATCTGTAGTCTGGGCGCAGAGCGCCAGATAGGATATCGACATTGGTTCTTCATTGATGATGATGAGACTATTCCAGCATTGTCAATTATGAGCTTTTGCTGTGCTTTTATTTGGTTGAACTCGTGATGCAATTCTGCTATTGGTTCGAGGTCACGACTATCTGGTCTCATGTGTATGATGCTGTTTGATTTCTGAAGTTCGCTATCGCTCATTTTCCTTGCAAGAAGGGCATGGCGCAGAACCCAAGAACCGACCGAAGGAAAATGAGCAAAAACAATGCAGCGGAAGACTGATACACACAGATCTGACTAGGCAAACTTGAACTGACTGCGCACTCACTCATCATCAATCAACGGTGTGGGACATGGCGCGGCATACATAGAAGAAGGGTGCCATGTCCGAATAAGGGCGCCATGTCCAAATTAGGCTGCCATGTCCGAACAAGGGCGACATGTCCGAATAAGGGCGCCATGTCCAAATACGTCCACAGACGAAACGATGAGGGAAGAGACGAAGTGTAGGAAGACATAAAGGAGATGTCAACCGAAATAGTATCGCTATAGTGTTCAAAAACAGCCCCCAATGTCTCTGTGCCCATGCATTGTCCGAGTCTGGGCAATCACCCCAGTGTCAAGAAGTCTTTCTTTCCTCTAGTTCCTCTCTCTCTATATATATCGTCACAAACAGAACTGCCCGGTAAACCGTAGGCAGAGAGAGAGAAGAAGACAACAAACGAGCTATATATATTGTCACATAACTACGAACTAAAAGAGCGCACTTTGCGGAACAAAGAATAAAAGCAAAAAACGGGCACAGTGATAACATGCAAATTGTATATTTTTTTTCTATTCAATGAATTTGATGAAATAGAGAATATAATAAATTGATAAGATTCTAGCTCTCTCTCTCTCTCTCTCTCTCTCTCTCTCTCTCTCTCTCTCTCTCTCTCTCTCTCTCTCTCNCACACACACACACACACACACACACACACACACACACACACACACACACACACACACACACACACAAGAAGAAGAAGAAGAATCGGAGGGAGAGAGGAGGAAGGAGAGCGGCTGAGATGGAAGAGGAGAAGAGGGAGAACGATGTTTCTGGAGGCAGATACTGACCAGTGTAAGGGTGTCACCTTGGAGCTGTGATGCAGTTGGGAACGCGCCTGAAGATGAACCAAAGCTATTGCGCCAGGTAAGTACCACAGGTAAGCCGCTCTTAGCTGGCCTCCGCCCTCAACCTCCTGTCCTCCTGTCCTCCTGTCACTAACCTACTCCTCTACTAGCACAGCGCTGCCCAGCAGCATGGCGACCTCCTGGACCCAGCTATTTATAACACTGGGTTTACCAGTCCCTGAGGCGCCTGAATCCACGGTTGTCCAAACAGCACATAGATTGGCGGTCCTGGATGCTGGACCAACTACTGGTCCATCCTCTAGGCCGAAGACGTGAAACATGGTCTGCTCAAATGCAGGCCTAAGGCGGCCGCTGGAAGTGAAACGACACAGCCCAGGCCGAAAACGCGGCTGCCTTAGGTCTGCTCAAATGCAGGCCTAAGGCGGCCGCTGGGTCTACTGAAGGGTGGCCCGGACCAACCTGGTCTAGCGGACACATCGGGCTGGGCTGGAAGTGAAACGACACAGCCCAGGCCGAAAATGGACAAAACTGCTGGCATGATGTACTCAGACCGGACAAGGACCGAACAGACAGGCCGGACTGAAAACAGACCCATAATCTATAAATCTGAGAACTCACAAACAAGACCCAGAAAAAATGCAGACGACCCCAAAATGCACGAACGAACTCTCCCAAGATCCCAAGGCTTCCTCTTCAAGAGAGTGTGCAGTGGATTGCCTCTATGCTCACATGATCTGTACATCTCTCCCTATTACCTTATTTCTCCGAACACAACAACAGGTCATTATAGCTGTAATACAACTGTTAATGCAAGTTCCAAAGCGGATACAGATATGATGACCGGGTGTTGGTTGTGCGCAAGGAGCCATGACGTAATTTTCTTCCTTCTTGTCAGTTGATCGTGTGCAAGGGAAGAAGGTAGACACGGCGTGATTTTTTCTTCCTTCTTTTCAAAAGTTGAGTCCTACGATTTTCAAAAGAGTGCCCACTTGCTTCACCAAACCCCATATATATAGTCCACTTCACACTAACCCTTCCACCAGCTTGATCACTTATTTAGGTCGTAGTTTTAGACCCAGTTTTAGGCCCGACCTGTTTTGGGCCCAGTTTGATCACCATGACCATCTTGTTTGGGTCCTCTGCCTTCATCATCCTCTGGCCAAGAGTAAGTAAAAAATGAAGGGTGGTGCTTCTCTGCCTGACTGATCCTTTCCCAAACATCTATCGTCTTCACCCGAATAGAACGCCCCGTCATTATCGCTGCATCTGGCATTACAAGTCAGGTGAAGATGGTAGTCTAGACTCAAACCATATTACATTCGAGCCTCTTTTGTACAGGGCAGATTCCCCCCGCGCGCCAAGCCTTGCCGATATGCCAGCAGCGCAGCGTTTTTGTTTTTGTTTTGACTGGTGCTGCCACCAATCTTGGTCTGGTTGCCCTCACCCTCCGAATCTTCCGGACAGAGCCTCTAGTTGTTCTCGAGGTGCCTGGGGCCATGTACTGGGGGTTTAAACAACCACTACCACCCTCTGACAATTACCCCGGCGACCCGAAGACCTACCTAATTAGGCAGTCCATCCGATGGATTGACATGCGAGAGCCACAGTTTTTTTAGTTTTCTGGTTCGCAGGGGTTCGCCCGACTTTCTGGTGGTCACCTCTTAAACCACTGGTCCCTCCGAGCCCCTTTCTCGCGACCGAGCTGAGATTGGTGCCACGAGCCAAAGGAAAAAAAAAAGAGCCCATGCGGGTGCATGGTAGCGTACTGTTTTTTTTTTTTTTTCCCCCACCTGGCTCCGCCAGCCATCTTGGTCCAGTAGGCTGAGCCCCCCCTGTTGATGCTGCGCGTTAACCACCGTCTGGAAACAAAATAGCCAGGACAGGGCATGATAGCGCAAAGCACGTCTACTCCGTGTATCTGATCTGTTCGCTAACCCCAGAGCAGGAAGAAAAACACGAGAGGCCGAAAGAACCTCCGTGAAGAGACTCTCCTCTTATCCGTGGCTCAATAACTGATGAGGGTGCCTGGGCTTTTCCGTCTTTTCTTTTTGGAAGATAAATTAGATCATCAATTTCCGTCAAACTAAACAATTTTGAATTTTTTTTATTTTTTATTTTTTGCAAAGGGGATACCCTTACAATAATTGGATTACATCATTTTTTGTACACGCATCCTTTGTTCCTGCCATTCGTTCCCTCTTGTATTATTCAATGTTGCATCCATGACATTGCCCTAGGAGTGAAGAAGCAAAAAAAAAAAAAAGAAAAAAAAAAATCTGCCTCTCAGATGCACTGTGATAAAACCAGAAACAACAACTGCATTTCTCTGAAATAAGTTGTCTCAAAATGGACATGGAGCCAGGGCCATAAGGACCTTTTGTATCAAAAAAAAAAAGTCATGTCAGATCGAACTAGACAGAAACGACTTCTTTGTGTGAACTCTTTTTTTGGAAATTTCCTGACATTCATGTTCGTGTTTTGCACGTATGTCTACAAGCTTGGTTTGTGACTCGCATGTGCTTGTCATGAATGAATATTGCTTCTTCCATAGGACAGAGAAGTCAGGAAACCACAACTGTCAGACAAACCAATGCAAAGGACTCCTGCTTGGGTAGTGTGAGGTATATTGAGAGAAGAGTAAATATTAGTTTTCAAAAAAAAAAAAAAAAAAAAAAGAGTAAGTATTGACTTGCAGAAGCTGCAGGAGGGAAGGTGCAACGACTGGCCTGCTGTCTCCAACTAACCTTGCACAGCTCTTCACAATATTTCACTGCTTCCATCAGTGACGAAGGGTAGCGGCCATGGACAAGGACAAATGCTCGCGAAAGCACCGCCGAAGGTGTGGGATAAGGACCCACTCCCTGAGATTGGGAATCGCTGCAGCTGGTACCAGGGAGTTCCGTGCCGCAATCAGCGGTAGACGAAGCTGAAGTACACCCGAGAATGCTCTCACCCCTGCTTCCTCCTCCTCCTCCTCCTCCTCCTCCTCCTGCTGCTGCTGCTGCTGCTGTTCTGTTGCCATCGGATGTGAACCCTGCACCTCCACCTCCCGCTCCCAATCCGATTCCACTGCACAGATACCCATCCACAGTACTAACAGCAGCCGTGGCAGGCATGATCCGAGGTGGACTGCCAGCCCAGCACCCAGTGATCAGATTCGCAAGAGGGCTCGAAATTGAATCTTTGTACAGCGCGTATGCAGACCGGATCAGTGCGATTGCGCCATCCAAGTTCTCAGCCGCGGTGGCATAACTTCCAACGATCGCCCCACTTAACTGCACGTGTTCGTCGGCCGGACCATACTCTTCCCCTCCGCATCTTCTGTTATCATCGTACTGATCCTCCGCCACCCTGTCGAATACCTGTGTCCTGTTAGCCGACCCTAGATGAGGAAATCCGACATCAATGTGCGCACCAGATACATCTGCTGCCACAATTTCAGACCCCGTATGGCCTCTGAAAAGACCCCACTGGAAGTCGCTGCGCTCCCCCCCGCCCGCAATGTCCATGCCATCCTTCCTCCCATCTCCATCTACCCTGGGGCCTCCAAGTGCTCCCGCACTCTGAATCTGACCGATATGCTGGTGCTGCAGGTCTGGCATTGTCATCAGCACCGTCGCTGGCAGCAAATGTGCCGCAGTGGGAGCAGGCGGTGGCGGGAGCTGCAAGGGAGGAGGAGCTGCTGCCGGCGTGGACAGTTGAGAAACCCAGCGGGACAGAGCATGGAACCAGCAGAGAGCAGCTCGCCGGTACATCTTTAGCACACCGGCGCTCGTCAACTTCGGGCTCTTGAACTTGCGCCGCATCTTTTCATTAACCAGCTCCAGTGTGTCGACATCGCCAGCCTCCTCCAGCTGGTCCAGGTATCGCATACCATATCTGCTCACCACGCACATCATCCAGACGGAAGAGAAACACAGACATGAAGTTGGGCCAAGGTGAAGAAAAGGAGGGGGACTCAAACTACATGCGAGTCGAACACAAGAGTTAAGTAACCTGGGATGGAACCGCTTGCTGGCTACCTCATTAAACCCCCAGTACACCGAGCCTGGCGGACCTGCACTGCGCGCCGAGCTTTGCTGAATGGCCACTGGCGCAGCTTCTTTCTTGGCTGGCGCTGCCAGCCATTGTGGTCCCGTAATCCCCGAGCCTCTGAGATTTTAGGAGTGAGCCATGAATTTTTTGAAGTTGCCTGGGGCCGTGTACTGGCGGTTTTAGAACCACAAGTGGACCCCGCGTGGTGATGCTGTGCCCCAGGTTCAATCCTGCCTGTCCACGGCCAGATGTGGACCTGACGGGACGGACACCCTTCCTTGCAGGCCAGTTTGCCCTCCTGTGCCCAGCCTGTCCCCTGCTGCAAGCACGCCAGAAAAAAAAATAAAAATGGCAAAGAAAAAGAGATGGTGGCCCAAGCCCGAATCCTCCCAGCAAGTCAAGAAACGACATGAGGGATAGGGCCCTGGCCTCACTACTCGCCAGTGCCACAGAGGGATAGCGTCTATGGCCATGTATCTTTCCCCCCMCCCCGCCCCTTCTTCCCCCCCCTGCTAGACCCATACTCTGTGAAACGTGGCAAGAACTAAACTAAGGGCCTTGTTCCACTACTCACCACATACACAAAAGAAAAAAATATGGCGCTGTATCTTTCCATGTTCCAGCGCAAGATTCAGTCTCATTTTGCACATTTGGAGAGTAGTCCAGCAAGGCCCTATACGATGTCACGGATCAACTGGAAGTGGGGCCAGAAAATGGCAAAAAAAAAGAAACAAACGAAACACCCCTACCAGCTGTGCAGCAACGCCATGTACAAAATTGGGAACGAATCTTTGACCGGAACACGGGAAGATACACCACCATTTTGCCCAGCAGTGAGGACTGAGGCTCCCCTATGTACTTGTATTCAAACATGTGCGTAGCGCCATCTCTCAAACCCGCGCGCGCGTGAAAAACGAAAGGGGGCTGCACAAACAGGACGACCGTTTCTGCTGGGCCCGGCCCCGTGTCCCTACTGTTTTCCCAATACTGGCAGCAGCTGGGCCTCACGGGAGCGTCGGGAGCGTCGCGCGAGACCCGCTGCAGTCTTTAGTAAGACTATATAGAAAAGGGGGTAGCCAGCAAGGGGTCATCACCAAGGGCCCAAGGGGTAATTCATAATTACCACGCAGCATGTTGCAGTCTGAACATCTGGACAATAATACAGATCGTCTGCATTGTCAGCATTGTCAGATTTGTCGGGATCGTCAGGATCGTCAGGATCGTCTGGATCTTCAGAATTGTCGGGATTGTCAGGATCGTCCGGTTCCAGCTTTCTGGATAAAGGGCATCCTACATGCCCAACTAGATTGGTTAAAAACATTAGAAATTTTCTTTAACCACCAATAGCCTGCACGGCACCCACTATATTTTTTGGAGGTGCTGAATTCAAGGGGGGACCACTGGCAGGGTCGGCCGAGGCACGGAAGAGGCTCGGGTGCGGCTCTTTTTGAAAACCACGGACAGAACTCGTCAAGCCAAAAAAGAAAGCAACAACAAAAAAAAAAAGAAAAACGGAAGGCAACAAAAACGGACCAGGAGAGGCCAAGCGACCTAGCTCAGTTGGTTGGGCACGTAAGTGGTACACAGGAGGTCGTGGGTTTGATTCCCCACGTCATCCATTCGATTTCCCACGACCCCCGTGTGGCATGCCGTCCCCACGTCATCCATTCGATTTCCCACGACCCCCGTGTGGCATGCGTCGGGTTCACCGGCTTACAAAGTCAGCTTGTCCCTCCTGGCTGGTTGTAGAAGCTGTGTCCGACTTTCCAGCCCGCGCCACCCATAACTTACGATGACTAAGCCATGGTTAGTACTTTTAAGGCATGGTTAATACTTTTAAGGCTGGGACCCTATCCCCCCTGGCATGGTTAGTAGTACTTAGTACTTTTTAAGGCATGGTTACTGCTTGCAGGGTACTTTTAAGGTAAGACCTCCTGGCATGGTTAGTAGTACTTAGTACTTTTGAAGGCATGGTTAGTGCTTGCAGGGTAGCTCTTAGAGGTAGACTTAGGGGGTAGTGTAGCCGGCCTGTCCTTTCCGTACTCTTCAGCCCTAAAACCCAAGTGCATAGCCAGGGGTACGTAGTGTGAGATAAAAAGAATGTTGAGAGAAGAGTTCAGACGAATATGAATATAGCGTAGTAAATGCAGCTGTCCGACCCCGTAATTAACTTCAGGTAACCTAACGGTTGCCCTCATACTTGCTCCATTGGTGTGCATATATCGAAGTAGCCAGCCTCCTATGAGGAGAACGCGGCTTGCATTATTTTTAAAAAAAAAGGAAAGAAAGAAAACGAAAAGGAGATGAAACGAAAACGAAAAGGTGACAAAAGAAAAAAAGGAAATGCAGCAACGAAATGTGAAAAAAGAGGGAAAGGCAACAAAACAAAAAGAAAAAGTCGGGAAAAATAAAAGAAGTGGCAAAATGAATCAAAAGCATTGTCGGTTCTACGCTTTACGGCTGCATCCAGAGTAGTCACGCCAACGGTTGTCACCCTTGGATTGGTTGCGGGCCGACCAGCCGACCGTCGGACTGGTCAGCACCTACCGGTCGGGGATCGGTCGGCATTTTTGTTTTTTTGGGGGGGGTCCAGAACCCCAAATAACCCCATCAACACCCCCATAGACCCCCCCCAACACCCCCATACCGCCCCCCAACACCCTCATACAACCCCCCTTAACCCCCTACAACCCCGTATACCTCCCCCTATAACCCCCACCACCCCCAAAAACTTTTATTGCGGTCGAGCTGCTCTCCTCAAGCCGCACACCACCATGTAATCAGAAAAAAAAATAAAATTGCGAGGCAGTCTGCCGACCGCCGACGGGTCCGCCTACGGGTCGGCCGGAATGGTAGGCACGCCTACTGCCTACGGTAGGCGTCGGCGGTAGGCGCCAAAACTACCCTGGCTGCATCGGAGTTTTTCCAAAGGCTCGGGAAACTGACCCCGCTAGAGTGCCCCCGCTATGTTTGGGAAGGCACTTGCCAGGGGTACTGGTGGTTATAGGATCATTTAATTTTATTTTAGAAATGACTTAAAAGCTAGGCTACCAGCCGGGCCGCCCGGGTCACCTTGTTTTCCCGGGCGGGCCGGCCGTGCAAGGACCAGGGAAGGTCTCAGCAACAGAAAAAAAACAACAAAAAAAAAAACGAAGAAAAACTATGTTATGCAGAAAATAAACTGAACAACTTTTACCTCAGGGTCACATCGAAATTCTTTACCAAATTTAAAATAAAAGATACTTTTCTTTTTTTTTTTCTTTTTTCTGGCCCGGTCGGGCAAGTGGTCCCGGTCCACTCTAGTAACCTAGCCGGACGCTACGAAACACCAGCAACCTGCGTCCTCATTCGACATTGGAAAAAAATTCTAAGTTTAACAGCCGAGTCAACTCTATTTGATCGTACTCGGACCACGTTCACACTAGGACTTCCCTACATTTATTTGACTGCCATTGCAGCCTGCCGTGGATGCATCTGACTGCAATTAATCCAGAAAACTAAGTTTTAACTTTTAAGCAATCCTTGTGTGAGTATGCGCTCAGTGAGAGTAGCTCATTTACCGCATTCGGTTATGGGACGGGCATCATAAAGGCTCAAGCGGGGATTCGCCTACAGCATGAAACAGACAAAACCTCCCGAAAAATCGTGTTTCAGAAACCTTGGTGCCCTTTCTTCCCAACGCCGGCGAAATTGAGAGGAAACCAGTCAGGAGGAGCATCATAGGGAAAGTCAGCCAGGCAGAGAGACGATGACAAAAAGAAGAGAGCGGCATCTGACCTGTAAATAGCCTCCTCGATCGTTGTCGATACCGAATCGTATCCAGCTTCAGCGAGGCCGAGCCCAGCGGTGTCTTCCCAGGAGATGGAATGTTCAAGGAAAACAGTGAATGCCCTCTCCAGAAGCCCTGCCGGAGCGTTGGCACTATGAGAGCCGGGTCCCGCAATCTGCACCTGACCAGCTGTCTGCAGCTGCTGCTTCGTCCAGTTCCCTCTCTCCCTCTCCTCATCCCACTTCTGAAGAGCCATCACCAGCCCATGAAGATACCGACCAAGCGCCACCCATGCTATGTCCTCCAAGCAGAGACAAAACTGTTAGACCGCAAAAAGAACACAGATCAGGTAACACATTTGTGACCATATTGAACAAGAAAACCTCAGGGAAGTGTCAGAGCACTCACAGAGAAGTTTCTAAGCAGTGGCAGAGCAGTGCCGCAGCAGCGTTTGAGCCTGCTTACTACCGTCTTCTGCCGAACACAAGCGCCACCCGTGTTGTCCTCGAGGCAGTGACAACACTGTCAGAGCACAGGTAACACATCCGTTGACCGTATAGAACGAGAAGACCTGAGAGAAGTATATGAGAGCACCCGCAGAGAAGTTTCTCTAAGGTCACAGGGAAGTGTCCACCCCATTGTACATGTACGCTTAACCCTTCCAGGCTTCGCTACCCATTTCTTTGGGGAAATGAATTAAGGGATTGGCTGATCATCTTGCTCTAGCTTTAATACTTTATCCATGTGAGGGAAACACCACTGGATATTTTCGAGAACGGGTGACAGCCTTGCGATATCATCGTGGAGCTGACCGGCCCCAGGTAATTCAAAACTTCCATTCGTCTAGCTCCATCTTTTTCATACGTACGACGGCCTTGAGATATCGTCATGGCGCTGACCGCCCCCCTGTAATTCAGAAATATTTTTCCATTCATTTTGTTCCATCATGTGGATTCAAACTTGGGCCTGTATATTAACAGTTTTGGGGTGTACCACTTGTTTCCAACTCAGGTCTGTATTTCAACAGTTGATGGGTGTAGTACTAGTAGTAGTAGTTATGGGTCCGTACATCTGGGCCTAAATCCTCCTGCGCGAAAGCACGTATTCGATCCGGCGACTTCGGTCTCAAGAGCCAAGTCTCTTAACCACTACAGCCAGGACACGGTGTTCAAAAGTGGAACCATCCCGGTCCTGATATCCATCCCACCCCTTCAAGGCTGTAATGTCCAACTCAACACATGCCACACACAACACCACACAGACACGGCAACTCTCGCACTCGTCACTCCGATCTTCACGTGACCCCCACAGTAGCATTGCCCGCTCACCACACGAGGGTCTTGCATCTGCCCACGGGCTCACGGGAGCTTTCCACAGTAGTTATGGATCTGTACATCTGAGCCTAAGTCCTCCTCCGTGCAAACACGGATTTGAACCAGTGACCTCGGCCTCAAGAGCCAAGTCTCTTGACCACTACAGCCAGGACACGGAGAAGAAAACGACCGTTGCACGTGAAGGCACACTGTAGTAATACTTTTTTCCCACGTCTTGCTAGCGCGATGGAGATATTACAGCTTGTAGTAGATTTTCCTATTCCACCTTTTCCTGGAGGGAGAAAGTTGTGTCCCTCCTGCCTCTCTTCACCACCAGCCCTCCAGTTTACCACAAGATAAACCCAATCACATCCATCTTGTCTGCTTTGGTCGATGTTGGGTAGGAATGACTGGGAACACCCGAAGTGACCAAGGCAACGGGCAGCATGACCACAGGCACAAATGGGAGCATGGCCTGTGCAAGCGAGGGAAGAAGACGACGAGGAGCAACCAATAGGACGACGAACGCAGCTTATGCGTGGAAAGGCATCTAGGTGGTGGGTTGCCCTTCCGTGCGAGCGTCCGCGGTAAAAGCGGTTACCATACGACTCCCTATGTGAATACCTGTGCAGCCCTAGATATAACAAGAAGACGTAGTCACTCCTTGCACAATTGACCGAGCCCTCGATAGGAGAGTGGTCTGCGTAGGTTGTTGTCGTCGTCATATTGGTTGCTCCTCGTTGTCGTCTTCCTCGCACCCACCCCGACTCGCGGTGAGGGGACCACTCTCCTATCGAGAGCTCGGTTGATTGTGCAAGGAGCGACAACGACTCCTTGTTAAATTTAGGGCTGCGCTGGTCAATCACATCCATCTTGTCTGCTTCGGTGAATGTTGGGTAGGAATGACTAGGAACACCCGAAGTGAAAGAGCTGAAAAAACTGAAGAAAACTTTGAAAAACTTAAGCAGGCATACCCGCACTTGAACTTTGCTGGATGTGTCTCTGACACCTTTTGACTTTTCAAGATTCAGTCAAAGCAGTCCTAGCTTGACTACGCTCTAAGCAAGCATGCTGCAAGGCATGCAGTCATCGACTTTCGACCCCGTACCTGCCCGTACCTGATCAATGAGGCCAAGTTCCAAGAACTGTGAACATGCACACTTGCCAACAAGCACCCTGTCAACTTTTGCCAAAGGTGAAGTTACTTAGAAAAAAAATAAAAAAAACAAATATGAATCATGAATGATGATATGACGATTTCTGTGCAAAAGTATATGATGCAACCGAAAAAAAAAGGGAAAGAAAACAAAAGATTTACTAGGAGGCAAGGGCATCATGCACTTCTGAGAGGCTGAAAAAGAGGCTCAACGAAAAGCACTTTCTTGTTTTCCCATGGTTCACGCTGTCAACCAACCTCAATGGAAATCTGAAGACAACTTGGCTGTTTGACTGATCACCACTATCACACTAAGTCATGAGCATAGGTTTTCCTCAAACACACCGATCTTTACCTGTTCACCAAGGAGGAGCGAGATCAACACAATGTCTGTATGTGTGTGTGTGTTGGTGTGTGTGTCTGAGAGAGATACAGAGAGACAGACCGACCGACCGAGAGAGAGAGAGAGAGAGAGAGAGAGAGAGAGAGAGAGAGAGAGAGAGAGAGAGAGAGAGAGAGAGAGAGAGAGAGAGAGAGA